TGGTGATGATGATGGGGATGGTGATGGTGATGGTGATGATGATGATGGTGATGGTGATGGTGATGGTGATGGTGATGATGATGATGATGATGATGATGATGATGATGATGATGATTATGTGATGATGATGATGATAATGCAGATGATGATGATGATGATGATGATGATGATGATGATGATGATGATGATGATGATGATGATGATGATGATGGGGAGGAGGGGCGCGGAGGAGGAGTGAACGCGGGGCGCTGTCTCTTCAAAACGAGGACCCAACACCACAGGATGGTTGGGAACAGGTCGAAAAATCCGCCGGCCCTCTTGTGGGGCCACCAGGCTGCAGGGCTAAGGTTCGCAGTTTCCTGTGCCAGTTGCAGCTTCCAGTTTCCACTGTTACGGTTCTGCTTCTTGCTGCTTCCTGTTCCTTGCTGACTTCCTGCTGCTTACTGTTCCTTGTTGATGGACCGCGCGAGGAGGGGAGGCCCCAAATCGGGTATTTTCACCACGCCCCGAGCGTGTTGTCTGAATTGCCGGGGTGGGTAAAACTTGGCACCCCTCACGCGGATCGGCTGGCACCCCTCCCGCAGATCGGCGGGGTCGGGGTCCAAAAACACAGGAGATTTGCCACATTTCTGACATTCGGTGGCACCCCTCACGCAGATCGGCGGGGTCAGGGTCCAAAAAACACAATAGATTTGCCACATTTCTAAAATTCGGTGGCACCCCTCACGCAGATCGGCGGGTCAGGGTGCAAAAACTGATGGGATTTACAACATTTTTGAAATTTGCTGGCACCCCTCACGCAGATTGGCGGGGTCAGGGTGCCAAACCATATGGGATTTGCAACATTTCTGACATTTGGTGGCACCCCTCACGCAGATCAGCGGGGTCAGGGTGCAAAAACATATGGGATTTGCAACATTTCTAAAATTCGCTGGCACCCCTCACGCAGATAGGCGGGGTCAGGGTCCACAAACAAAGGGATTTGCCAGATTTCTGAAATTCGTTGGCACCCCTCATGCAGATCGGCGGGGTCAGGGTGCAAAAACATATGGGATTTGCCACATTTCTGAAATTCGATGGCACCCCTCACGCAGATCGGCGGGGTCAGGGTCCGAAAACCCAGGGGATTCTCAACGTTTCTGAAATTCGGTGGCACCCCTCACGCGGATCGACAGGGTCAGGCTCACAAAACAAGTCACTTGGTTTTGCCGATTACGAATGGGCCTCCGAGATAGGGGGCCGGCGGCAGGGGGCGAAGCCCTTACGGATAATCAAACATAGTAGAAACATCGTCCCCAGACAATTCTAACTATTTCAGAATGTACCTCCTGTAGAGGGACAGGCCCGACTTAATGCAAACCTGGGCCAATCGGGCTTTGCAGGATCCTGCAAGGTCCTTCAAGATCCTGCACCCAAGCCCGGGTCAGTGCGCCCCTGGCCCTGCTGTAGAGGCCTCCCGGATGGGGTCCGTCGGAGGATCGCGCCGCATCGGCAATGCATCGGCGATGCATCGGCGACGCATCGGCGACGTCGGCGTTGAGAAAATCCGGCTCCGCATCGAGCCGCATCGCTGATGCATCGGCGATGCGGCGCGCTCCTCCGACCCCATCCGCTCCGACCCCACCCGGGAGGCCCAGGTGCTGGCTCCTGCAGGATCCGGCGCTCTGGCCGACCCCCGCCTGCACCGACCCCGTCCCATGGAGCCCCGAGGGGGGCAGCCCCGCGGCCTCGCCGGGGCTGAAGGGCAGGAAGGGCAGCACCTCCGTGAGGCGGCTCCTCGCTGGGAGGGGGAGCGGGGGCCGGGCGAGCGGGCGGGCGCTTCGGAGGGCAGGGGTGGGGGAGGGGGGGGGGGGCTGGCCTCGCGGCGCCTCGCCCCTCCACTTCCCCCCTCCTCGTTGGCCTCGCCTGCTCCATCCCCCGCTTCCCCCTTCGCCTCGTCTCGCCTCGTGTCGCCTTCCCCCCTGCTCTCCCTTCCGTTCCCCCTCGTTTCTCTGCGCTCTCTCTCTCCCTCCCTCTCCCTGTCCTTCTCCCTCTCTTTCTTTCTTTCTTTCTTTCTCTCTCTCTCTCTCTTTCTCTCTCTCTCTCTCTCTCTTCTCTCTCTCTCTGTCTTTCAAGGGGCCCAGGGAGACACAACATAATACACACACGCATTCCAACATTCTCCCTGCATGTGATATATATATATATATATATACATATATATACACAAGTGGCACGTGTGTGCCCAGGCCCATACAAAAAACTGAAGGGGCGTTTGAAGCAGGAGTGAAATGCAACATCGAAGTCGCACTCGAGCGCAAGTGGGGTTGCCACACCTTGCGATGTGTGTACCAGGGCCCCCAGGAAGCCTTAGGAGGCCCGACTTGGATACCAGAAGAGGCTCCAGGAGGCCCCAGGATTGTGAGTGTTGTGTGCGTGTGTGTGTGTGTGTGTGTGTGTGTGTGTGTGTGTGTGTGTGTGTGTGTGTGTGTGTGTGTTTGTGATGTATGCTTCGTGTGGTGCGTGCTTTTTGTGTGTTGTAGGTGTTGTGTGTGTGTGTGTGATGTTTGTCTAGCGTGTGATGTGTTGGGCGTGATTTGTGTCTCTGTGTGCATGTAGTTCTGAAGCCCCAGGAGGCCCCAGGAGGCCCCAGGCGGCCTCAGGAGGCCCCAGGAGACCCCAGGAGGCTTCAGGAGGCCCCAAGAGGCTCCAGGAGGCCGCAGGAGGCCCCAGGAGGCCCCATGAGGTTTCAGGACACCCCCAGGAGGCTCCGAGGCGGGGTCTGGGGTGCCAGAATGTTCAGAAGGCCCAGGAGGCCCCAGGAGGTTCCAGGAGGCCCCCAGGAGGCTCCGAGGCGGGGTCTGGGGCTCGATTTTGGAAGGATTTTTCAAGCGAAACCGCCATTCACTGAGAATCGGGGTCACAATTATTGAAATTACCATGTGTTTTTGAAGGTTTTATGTTAAAATGTTGAATTTCCCATGTGTTTTAGACCCTGACGTCGCGATCTGCGTGAGGGGAGCCACCGATTTTCAGAATTTCGAGGATGTCCCGAGCGAAACGCCCAGAAAAATTGCGGACGCGTGCGCATTAATCGCCTCTGAGCTCTACTCCCTCGGAGAGGTGCGTATGAGTATATATATATATATATACATACATACATATAAATATCACATATTTCCATCTTCCCCTCCAGTTGCAACATTCAAACACATTAACATGATAATCGACGTTTATGTGTGCCTGTGTCTATATTATTCCCTCTCTCTCTTTCTCTCTTTCTCTCTCTCTCTCTCCCTCTCTCTCTCTCTCTCTTCTCTCTCTTCTCTCTGTCTCTCTGCTCTCTCCTCTCTCTCTCTGCTCTCTGCTCTCTGCTCTTTGCTCTCGGCCCCGCGACTCCTCAACTCGCTCTCCATGAAGAAATTGTGGCGGCCGTCGGTTCTCGGCTGCTCCATGGCCTTCCGCAAGTCGTTCTGGATCTGCGTGCACGCGGGCCCCGCTGGGTTGGGCTGCCAGGCCCGAGTGCGCCCCCGAGCGGAGACGAGCGCGTGCGTGGCTGCAGCGAATGCAGGATGGCCCGGAGGCTCGGGCCCAGCCGATGCACCGAGGTGAAGGGGGCCCAGGACACACAAATAAATACACACAAATAAAAGATTCCACATATTTTCCTATATTTTCTGTGTTTCTGTCTTCCCCCCCACTTCCCATATTTTCCCATATTTTCTGGGGAATCGAGGATTAATTGTGTCTGTGTGTTTCTTTTTCTCCTGAACGATACCTGCTGGCCAACATGCGCGGTGGAGCCACTCGGTGCCATGCATACTGCATCGGTGCGAGCACTCTCAGAGTCAGGGGGAGTGGTCCGGAGGAGGGCGACGGAGGGGCAGAGGAGAGGCGAGAGATGGTGCGAGTGTCACGCGCGCTGCCGTCTGTGCCATGCCGCCTGGACGTATCGTTTGCATACCCGTTGCACTTCAGGGGCAACTAATGCTTCCCTAGAGACGCAGTCAAACTTGAAATTTCCTCAACAATCAAATTACTTGGACAAGCCCGTAAAACATGGTCGGCCGCCCCCACGAACATCGAGCGCCGTCGCGTATGGAGAAACGCCGTTGGTAGCGTGTATTGCAAGCACTCCGCCTGGCAACCATGCGGCCTCAGAACAAACGCGCCCAAGGGCGACCCGATCAAGTTAAGACATTCAAGCTGGAAGATGAAAACAGTCTGATGCAAGTATTTTGTGCGTATCGGGCTGGCGCTACGTCCCTTGCGGGACTCGTCTGAGCCAAACTGACTACTGACCATGTGAACCAGGCCCCAGCCCTCCAGTGCATGGACAAAATATTCGAACCCTTACACGCTCGAGGGAATTTCTGATCATCCCCCGCCCCCGAAATCAATGTTGCCCTCAGAAAGGTGGTGCTTTGGATGTTCGAATCTTTCTGTCCACTCACGCCCCCCTTCCTGCGTGACGCCCTCAATGTTCGTTTCAAGGGGTCCATGTACGGCCCCTACAATAGGAACTCGATCCCAAGAAACCTTCCCCACAAGAACACCAACCCTGAGATCCCAGGGCGTCCATTGGTTTTTATCAGGGGGCGTAAGACCCGGGTACAGGGGACTCGGAAATCCCCGACGAGGTCGTCAAAAAAATGACGAGGCCGAGCCTGCATTTTGACGAGGCCTCCCGCTGCAGACATCCCACGAAACTCCTACTCGTCAAAATCCGAATCGCGGTCGTCAAAAAACGATGGCGAACCCGAGTCCTGGCAAACCCGGGTCTTACGCTCCCCCGATTTTGGTGTGGGAACGTCACGCTTTGCGTCGCAAAGCCATCGAAACCCAAGACACCCAGGGCATCCTGGAGGCAAGCCGGGTGCTTTGTGGCATGGGCTTCCACTGTACCTCAGGCTGGGTTTCCAGGTTGGGTCACGCGGCTCCCTGCTCCACCTCCGCTGGGGTTGAGCAACCCGCAGGCCCTCGCCACTGGGGTCGGCGGCCCGGCGCCAGCTCTCGCGGGGCTAGCCGCTGCAGTTGTGGTCCGCCTGCTTGGCGGCTGCCTGGGGGTGCCTCATGATCAGATCCTTCCCCAAGTTGCTGGTGAGGATGAAGGTGACCTCTCGGACGAAGCCGGGACGAGGATGACATCGGGCGAGGACACGTCGAGAATCTCTGAGCTCCGGCGGCTCTCTGGAGGATGTCTCGGGCGCCGCGGCCTTCCCAGAGCGTCCCGGAACGCTCCGAGAGCGTTCCGAACCGCTCTACGACAGCCTTAGCCTCGGCCTGGCCCCGTCCGAGCCTCTGCTGCGCTGCTCGGCCCAGCCCGCGATCGGCGCGAGGGGGACGCCTCTGCCAGCGGGGGGGCCGCCTTCGAAAGCTGTGGGGCAGTGGCCGGGCCTTCGCTGCGGGGATTGGCCTGGGAGGCGAACGCTGCTGCTGCTGCTGCTGCTGCTGCTAATGATGCTGGTGATGGTGGTGGTGATGGCGGCAGTGGTGGTGGTGATGGTGATGGTGGTGGTGGTCATGGTGGTGATGACGATGGTGGTGGTAGGGATGATGACGGTGATGATGATGTCAGGCTCCATAAGGGGGAAGCGGGTCTCGGGGTCAGAGCCTCCCTGATGGCCAGCATGCGTTTGGGTATCGCTCGCGCCCTCGCCCGCATCACAGCTTCCACCCTGCTGGCGTTGTTGGCCAGAGGGGACACAGAGCGAACGGCATTGTACGTAGTGAAGAGGAGGTCATGCACCATAATGGTACCGTGCAGGGCTCTACTCGAGGGCAGCAGAGGTTTCAGGAGCAATCTATGTAAAGCATTCCACTCGATGAAATCTGGCGGCAGAGATGGGATGATAGTGGACAGCAGTGGCAGCAGAACAGGGCATTGAAAGTACTGTAGAATGTGGTCGGAGTCGTCGGCTCCGCACCCCATCACGCAGCATCTATTCCCAGAGCGATAACGGGCCGACGTGGGCCATGCATTACGTATCGATTTTAAAAGGGAGGAGGCAATGACTGGGGCAAGTTTGGTAGCGGCAAGGAAAATGGCTCGGTACAACATATCGGAGTGACTCATTGGGGCCTCATTGCAGAATCTACGAACTCTCGGATAATTTCTACGGGGATGGACGGACGACCCACATGCTTAGCAATATCGAGCGTGACTTTTCTCTGTACATCATGTGTGTGCTCGTCCACTTGTGGGCAAATCCGCGTAGCTTCACCCCAATTAGAAATCAGTGAGACACACATAGATGCCTGCAGCCACGGTCGATGCCGAACGACAGCCAGGCGCTCAACATCTTCAGAATCCAGACAGTGTAGTCGAGCCTTCACTCTCTCGAACGCTGAACTCTGCAGGACGACCCTAGACATAGAGGCTTTGTTGGTGGCAATGAGGTGCCGAGGCTCCACGGGGAACCTGAGATCCAGGGAGCTCTGAAGGACGGTGGTGGGGATGGCGTGCCTCGGACCCAGGGTCAGCCTCTGGAGTGCCTTCTTTTCAGCTCGAACTACCTCTGGCCTGGCTGGGAGCACCTGCATCAGGTACGTCAGCACCGAGAAGGCCAGCGAATTGTAGTCATAAAAACACGTGATGGTTTTCTTTTCGCTTCCGAGCCTAAATATCGCCCAAGAAAGCCCCACTATAAACCAATAAGGGGCCCAATGCGGTTCTAAGAGCATCTCGAGATGCGATGAAACGGTGATGTGTTCACATTGATGATGAAACGAAGCTCATGCCCACCCACCATGCGCTGATGGTATTTGACACTTTTCTAGCCTGTCAACGTCCTCGGTCTCCGGCGGATGCCCGACCAAACAACGGTGGCGACGACATGGTGTTGATTATGACGACGGTTAGTACCGTGATGGAGATGGTGGTCGGGGAGCACATGCCAACGGCCATGACAATGGTGACTTTGACGATGACGATGACCACGAGGCGGCATAGGCCGGCGACCTTCTTGGAAGAAAACAAACGAACGGGATAAACATATACTTTCGACGGTTCGCGCGGATCTCGTGGGTCGGCGCCGAATCCCTTGCGCCAGGGGCGGCACCGGAGGCGCAGCCAAAGGGGACTCCAGCGCCGACCCGAGATCTCCGCGCGGACCTCCAACAATCCATGTTTATGCCGCGTCTTTTAATTTCAGGACGGGCGGTCCTCCGTGGGCGGACCCCGAAGAAGGGTCCCGGTGCGACGCGACAGTCGGGGGCGTCCAAGAGGGGGTGGGGTGTCGCAAACCAGGGCCCAAGGCATGTGCGCGGACCAGGGCGGGGCCACGGAACGTATGGAAAGAAGACGAGGCGCCGTGCAATCTGGGGAGATATCGTAGCCCTGGCCATGACCCCCCCCCCTGTTCATCACCCTCCTCTTGACCGCCCCCAAGCAGGGGTCTCGGCGTAACATCACGGCGGGGGAACAAACGCATGACCTTGGCCGTCGAGAAGTCCTGACCGGTGCGCGGGTCGTACACGGCCCCGTCCTCGCCGAAGACCTGCCCGCGATGCCCGAGCGCGCACGGCTGGGCAAGCCGCTCGGCCGCCGCGGGCAGCCGCCAGAACATCGCTTCCGACACTGCAGGCTTCTCCTCCGTCCCTCGGCTCCTGCAGCCGCGACAGTCTGGCCAGCCGCGCGCTCCACATGCAGGGAGGACGAGGCGTCCAGCGCGCACCCTGGCGGACCCCGACATCACGGCAGGGTGGCCGCCGGTGTGTGCCGAGGGGCGTCGTCTCCCGAAATGGGCCTGGGAAGAGCCCCAGACGAGCCCGCGCAGGAGCCCTCCACGGGCCCTGCGCGACCCCTGCCCTCCTCCCCAGCTCCTGCTGCTGCTGCTGCTGCTGCTCCTTCTCGTCCGTATTCCTCCCCTCGTCCGCCCGCGCTCCTCCCGTTCCGCTGTTATCTCCTGTCGCTGCTCCTCGCCCTTGCTCCCCCTCCTGCCTTTCCTCTGCTCCCTTCCTCTGAGGCTGCTGCCTCCTGACCTTTTCGGCCAATGCTCGAATCGGATGTCGCCTCTGAGCTGTGCCCTGTTCAAACCGCCCCTGCCGCTGTCGCTGCTGGCCTCACCACCGCTGCCGCCTCCCGTCCTTCCCCCTCCCCCTCGCCTTCGCCCCCGTCCCCTCCCCAGTCCTCCACGCAACGTCAAGCGATAAGCAATGCCGAGCAACGCCGAGCAAGAATACTTTGCACTCCGCTGCCTAGAGCTGCTTCTGCTTTGAACGGCTTTGGAAGAAATGCGGCCCCTAATTGGGATCGCGCCCGGCTCGTTATCCTTGTGTCAACAGCTAGAGGGCCGCGAAGCTCGAGGCAATAATGGGGAAGCTGGCAACGACAGAAGGGAACGGGACAGGGGGAGGTGGTAACCTCGTGGGCACTACGGCCCATCGGACCCGTATCGTCCACCCCGAAAGGTCGTGCAAGTCAGCCCTCCCGGCTCGCGCGTGCCGGGAGAAGGACGAGGCGGAGGAGGAGGATGAGCAGGAGGACGGGGAGGACATCTCCGGAGGTCCCCAGTGTGTCTCCAGAGGCACCGAGGACCCTCCAGAGGGCCCCGGAAGCTTCTGGAGGCCCGGAGAGGGCAACACTTACCCAAAACGACGAACCTCGAACCTCGATCGAGCAGGGGGCGGAGGAGGAGGAGGAGGAGGAGGAGGAGGAGGAGGAGGAGGAGGAGGAGGAGGAGGAGGAGGAGGAGGAGGAGGAGGAGGAGGAGGAGGAGGAGGAGGAGGAGGAGGAGGAGGAGGAGGAGGAGGAGGAGCATGATGATGATGATGATGAGGAGGAGGAGGAGGAGAAGGAGGGGGAGGAGGAGGAGGAGGAGGAGGAGGAGGAGGAGGAGGATGGGGAGGAGGATGAGGGTGGGGATGGGGCTCCCATGGCCGATCGTCAAGTGCAAGGGCTCAGGCATGTGTGCCGTCCTTCTCTGTAGATGAGGGGCTTTCTGGGGGCCGTGGTCCCTGCGGACGTGAGGGCATTATATCCAACATGCCATGTGTTGCCCACGGCCATCGAGGATCAAGGGACAAGTAACAGGTATTAACAGGTTTTGGACATCTTTGGCGTGGAATAGAAGGTAGAAGATGAGGAATACATGATCGAGTATGCTACGTTTCTTGGCTCTTTCTTGAATCTCTGGAGGTCTCTGCGGGCCTCTGGGGACCACCAGGATCCGAGGCAGTACCATAGATTACCATCTCCGTCGTGCGCGGGATGCGGCCAGAGGAGAACACGGACCTTGAGCAGGGCCTTCGAGAAGCTGGGGTGCGCCTTCTCCACCTCGTCCAGCAGCACGACCGCGTCGGGCCACTGCCTGATCAGGTCGGGCAGGTCGCCCGTGCCCTGTATCCCCCTGGGCGGCCCGAGGAAGCTGTTCACCATCTCAGCCTGGAGGCGGGCTCGGCAGACCAGCCTGGGATCTGGCTGCGCCCATGCTGAGGCGTTGTCAACTTGCGGCGGTCACACACCAGGTGTTGGCGGGCATGCTGTGTGACCCCTCTCGGGAGCCCTCGCGAGCCAAACGGGGCTGGCATGACCCCGTGTTGGCCGTGCGACCCAACGGGGCCGTGTGACCCCGTGTTGGCACTGACCGCCGCTCCGATACAGAGCCCTTGTGATGCGAGCGAATGGGACGGCGGCACCTCCGTCATCCTGGCCCTTTCCCACACGCGTGTCTCCCAGAACTCACGATCCCAAAGCTCGAGTGGAGTCTTGCTCCGTGGGCCGCCTCCTGTGGGGCCCCCTGGCCCGGAGAGGGAGGGGCTTCCCCACGGCTGGGCCCCAGATCATGTAAAGGCCCGTAGCGCTGGCTTCCGAAGCCGCAGGAGGATCTGGGACCCCTGGGTAGCTCGTCGAGCGTCCAGAACCCGCCGACCCTGTCGGCGTGTGTGAGGGGCTTGTCTGTTCGAGTCGTTGTCTCTGTCAGTCGTCGTCTCACTCGTCGTCTCAGTCGTCCCCTTTCCCTGCGCCCTCCTTCTCAAGCTTGTCAGCGGAGAGAGAAACCTAGCAATTTCGTAATCGAGTCGAAGGGAAGACCCTTCCCTTTGGTCCCTTCCCCCGTCGGGGGGGTCCCAGGGGGCGGGGGTAGGGGGTGTAGCCCCGGGGGAGGGTAGGGGGGGGTCCCAAGGGGGGTCCCGGGGGGGGTCATATTCAGATACGCATCCCCCCCTGGGGGTCCCGGGGCCTCAGAAAATACCAAGACAAGCCACGAGTGCCCCAACAGGCTCCCGAGACCACCCGAGACGGTCCAAGAGGGCCCCCAATCGCCAAACGATTGGTCCAAAACGCCTTCACGCTCTCCAGACCGCCCAGGAGGCCTCCAGGACGCCCCAAGAAGCCTCCAAGAGCACTCCCGAGAGGGCCCCAAAGAGGCCAGAATCAGTTTGCTTATATAACAAAATATTCGGGCTTCTCGCCTTTTCCACTTCCCGCCGCTCCAAAGGGGCGCAAGATGCCCCCAAGATCGCCCCAAGACGGCCCGAGAGGCCTCCATCAGGGCCCCCAAACAGCCCAAGAGGACCCCAAGACAGCCCCAAACCCACGACGGCTAAAAAGAGGCCCCCAAGCCGGCCCCAGGAGCGGGCTCAGACCGGGGACCCGAACGGACATTTCGAGCCCTCGGCCCCGAGAAGTTCCCAGGAATCCCCAAAAGGTTCCCAAGAGGCTCCAAGAGGCCCATCAGAGCCCCCCAGGAAGCCCGAAGAGGACCCGCAGAGGCTCCCAAGATGACCCCAAGAGGCTCCCCAAATGCCCCCAAATTCCTCCCCAGAGGCACCCGAGAGCCTTCTGAAGAGACCCCAATAACCACCCTGAGGACCCTGGCCCGTGTCAGCGTCGTTCGTCGGCGTCGTCGTCGTCGTTGTCGTCGCCGCAGCCTCCGTCGTCGCTGCCGTCGTCGCTGCCGCCGCCGCCGCCACCGCCACCGCCACCGCCACCGCCACCGCCGCCGCCGTCGTCGTCGTCGTCGTCGTCGTCGTCGTCGTCGTCGTCGTCGTCGTCGTCGACTCCCTTCAGGGTCGGCGACACCGACCGTAAGGCCTTCGCAATATTTTGCTCCGCAATGCAGTCATCGAGCTACCAGGAGGAACGCTGAATAAAGAACGAAGCTGCTTTTCTGGTCAAGGCGAGTGTCGGCCACGAATCGTTTCCCCGACCTAGATCGAGCGTCTTGATTGCATGTCGCCTGGTACCACTGGTTGGAAAGAAAGACTCTCAAGCGCAGCAAGCTAACCGTCGATCGCACCCAGCGCTGCGTGACACGCTGGCATCTCTTGAGCTCCTCCTTTGTGGCGGACGATGAGGAAAGGGCAACGGCAGCCACTGGGAACGACAGTGAGAGAGAGAGAGAGAGAGAGAGCGAGAGAGACATATACTTTGGGGAGGGGGATCTCCCTGACCGAGGTGTGGAGGGAGAGAGACGGCGCACTCCTGTGACTCTCCCCGCGTCGCAGCGGCTGGAGCTCGCAGCCGAGCGCCCTGGCCCCACCGGAGGCCCGACCGGCGAGGAAGGACTGAGGCGAATATCGGCCCGCAGCCCTGAGAACTCCAGAGACACCATCGCTCGTGAACGTCCGCGGCGCCGCGAGTGGAAGGGGGGGAGCGCTGCGAACATGCATGGACATCCGAGGGATCGCGGTTGGAAGAGGGACGTACGTATATATCATATCAGATACATGTACAAACAAGGAGATTCATATATCCGCCGGTCCCCGTGTGGGGCCACCAAGCTGTAGGACGAGGGTTTGCTGTTCCCTGCGCCAGTTCCAGTTTCCAGTTTCCACTCTTACAGTTCTGCTTCTTGTTGTATTACTGTTCCTTGTTGTAGACCGCGCGACGGGCGGGAGCCGAAAAGTGCCCTGGCTAGCGTCTCCTAACAATTTCTGGGGGGGGGGGGCGTGGGACACGTAAACGTACGCGAAATTCGCCCCCCCGAGGCCATAAACCTGCGTAAATTATAGAATATTCGCGTCCCCGAGGCCATAAACCCTGGTGAATTACTCAATATTCGCGTCCCCGAAGCCATACCCCCCTGCAGAATATTCCATATTCGTGTCCCCGAAGCCATAAACCTTCGTAAATCACGCAATGCTTGCGTCCCCGAGGCCACAAACGCTCGTAATTCACGCGATGTTCGCGTCCCCGAAGCCATAAACCTTTGTGAAGTACGCGATATCCGCGTCTCCGAAACCATAAACCTGCGTAAATGATGCAATATTGGCGACCCCGAAGCCATAAACCTTAGTAAATTACGCACTAATCGCGTGTCCGGAGCCATAATCCGACATACATTGCACAATGCTCGCGTGTCCGAAATCATAAGCCGATGTAAATTGCACTATATTTGCGACCCCGAAGCCATAAACCCTTGCAAATTATGCATTATTCGCGTATCCGAAACCATGAACCTTCGAAACACAACACCGACTTCACCAATATCATCAGAATCTCAATTTGTCTTGCCGATTACTCATCGTCTTCGCGTGAAGTCCCGACGCTGCTTCACGGCGGCGCCAATGCCTCATGATTTTGCTCTTGCATTGCCCATTATCCGAGAGAGGGGGCCGGCGGCAAGGGGCCAAGCCCTTACGGATAGAAAGAGAGAAATAATGATATAGAGTGAGAGAGAGCGAGAGAGAGAGAGAGAAAGAGTGATACACACACATATATATATAGAGAGTGAGATAACGCTCGCTAGAAAGAGGAAGGAGGAAGCATCGAGAGACAACGGGAAAGAGGGAGAGAGATATACTAATAATTCAACCTGGTTGAATACGTTCATGTGGAACGTCTTGAAGCGACCGGCGCTCACGAGCTCGGCAATGGGCCTGCCCAGGAACACCTCGGGCGCTCAGCTGCTGCTCCTGCTACTCTTCCTCCTCCCGCCCCTGCCCAGGGCCTGCGACTAAATCAGCTACTGGCTTCCCACTGGTCAAACCGAGCTCTGCTGGCTGGCCATTGCACGGACGGAAGCACGCGGCACCGCATGTCGCCAAGCCAGCCAAGCAGGAAAGTGCATGGGGCAGTAGTGGAGGCATGACGGACTACATAATTAAGCATGAGCGTTCGGAGATCCGACGTCTTCATTTGTCAACACGGGGCCCCCAGGAGTCCCGACCCTTTCCCCGGGGCCAGCTTTTCATCCCGAGTCGCTTCTTGACGGCCCCGAAGCCCGGCGATGGCCCCCAAAGGCCGAAACACAGCTCAAAACTGCCCGTCGTGATTTTTCCCAACCATCCTGCGGTGTTGGGTCCTCGTTTTGAAGAGACAGTGCCCCGAGTTCCTCCTTCCTCTCCTCCTCCGCCCTCTCCTCCCTCCTCCCATCATCATGATCGTCATTCTCATTATCATCATCGTCAGCGCCACCAATGTCGGCCTCCCTCCAATTTTGGCACACCCTTCACACGTTTCGTGGCCCCACAGGGAGCTCCACCGAAGGCCCAAGTGGGGGTGCCCGCATGCGTCCGCTACACCCAGTACAGCGCTTCGTGGCTCCATAGGGAGCTCCACCGACGGCCCCAGTGGGGGTGCCCGCATCCGTCCGCCACACCCAATACAGCGTTTCGTGGCCCTATAGGAAGCTCCCCCGAAGGCCCCAATGGGGATGCCCGCATGCGTCTGCCACACCCAATGCAGCGCCCCGAAGCCCCATAGGGAGCTCCACCGGAGGCTCTAGTGGGAGTGCCCGCGTGCGTCCGCCACACCCAGTACAGCGCTTCGTAGCCCCATTGAGAGCTCCACCGAAGGCCTCAGTGGGGGTGCCCGCATGCGTCTGCCACACCCAGGCCAGCGTCCCGAAGCCCCACAGGGAGCTCCACCGAAGGCCCAAGTGGGGGTGCCCGCATGCGTCCGCCACACCCAGTACAGCGCTTCGTGGCTCCATAGGGAGCTCCACCGAAGGCCCCAATTGGGGGTGCCCGCATGCGCACCATGACGCTCATCGTGAAGCGCACCGAGGCCAGAACACGCGGCGACCTGGCAGAAGAGAGACGTTTGAATTACGTCGTCAAGAGCTCTGTGAAAACGGATAGGGCGGAGTGGTTGGAACACCTCCTGGCGACGGGCGACTGGGACCAGGTGCGACGATTGCGTAAAGGGGCCGGGCGGAAGCAAGGCAAACTTCGCAACATTCGCGGCGACCTGGTTGACTCCGAGGTCCGTGCGGACACGCTGGCAGACTTCCTGACGGAGGTGCAGTGGGCCGCGCGCGACACCACGCCGATGTCGACAACGCCCCTTGGCCCCGACTTGCTGGTCAACTTGGGGCAGATCGAAGACTGGGAGGTGACCGAGGCAGCCAAGCGCATGAAGTGGGGCAAGGCGTGCGGCAGTGACGGCATCCCCGGCGACTTCTGGAAAGCGGTCTGCGCTCGCGACTCCCCGGCGAGAGCTTGGGCGCTAGCGTTGTGCCAGCGGTGTTGGGACCAGGGCGTCGTGCCAGAATCTTGGCACAATTCCTTAGTGGTTGCATTGTTCAAAAAGGGTGACGCCACGCTCTGCGGCAACTACAGACCAGTGTGCCTGCTTCAGGCCGGGTACAAGTTGTTTGCGACTCTTCTCCTCCGCCGCTTGAAGGACGCCGGGGCCGAGGGCCGCATCTGGGGCACCCAGTTTGGATTCAAATCGCGCCACGGCACCACCGACGCCATCTTCCTCGCCAGGCGGAGGCTGGAGGAAACGTGGTCGAGCGCAGAGGGCCAGCTCGTGCTGCTCGCTCTGGACTGGGCCAAGGCGTTCGACAGCGTCATGCCGGGGCCTCTGCTGGAAGCGCTGCAGCGCTTCGGAGTCCCAGGGAAGATGTTGACAATGATTCAAGCCATCTACACGGGCAGGAACTTCGCGGTTCGCGAGGCCGGCGTGACGTCAGGGACCCGCGAGCAGCACGCGGGAATCTGTCAAGGTTGTCCTCTCTCACCCTTTCTCTTCGCCATGGTGATGACCGTGCTGCTGCGCGACGCCCGGGTCACGCTGGGCGACCGCATGGGGGACACGGAGGATCTCGTGTACGCTGATGACACGCTCATCGTAGCCACTAGCACGGAGCGCGCGCAGGAGTACATGACGGCTATAGCTGCCGCTGGCACGAACTACGGCCTCAAATTCAATTTGGGGAAGCTTGAATTGCTGACAATCCGGTGCCAGGGGAGCGTGACGAGTCCAGACGGCGCCCAGATCCCCAAAAAGGACTCCATGGTTTATTTGGGGAGTGTTTTGGCGGCAGATGGATCGATCGCTTCCGAGCTGAGCAGGCGACTTGGTTGCGCCAGGGCTGAGTTCGACACCCTTGCCCGAGTCTGGTCTCATTCCACCTTGTCCACACAACGGAAGTTGCAGATCTTCGAAGCCTGCGTGCAGACAAAGTTGCTGTACGGATTGCACGCGGCGTGGCTCCGGAAACATGAGTTGGCCAAGCTCGACAGCTTCCACGTGCGGTGTCTGAGGAAGGTGTTAAGGATGCCGCATTCATACATTAGTCGTATCTCGAACGCTGTAGTTCTGGACAGGGCCCGCCGGCCGCCGTTGAGCCGCATCTTGTTGCACCGTCAATTATGTCTTTTTGCGCAGATTGCCCGGCAACCGGTTGATCATCCTGTGCGGCGTGCGGTCTTCCAGCCGTCTTCTTCGGAGCTGCGTCCGCCGGCCGGCAGACGACCCCGGGGCAGGCCGAGACAGTCATGGACGAATGAATTGTACAAGCATGCGAAGAGAGTCTGCGAGAGCAATGCGTATGATTTTCGACAGCTCGCGGCAATCCCAGCAGAAGCCTGGAAAGCCGCTGTGCGACACTTCTGCCCATAGTGTTGCATTACTGCCCATGTGCTTCGACACCCGGCTTGCATTCATTCATTCGCATGCGCCCGCCGCACCCAGTCCAGCGTCCCGAAGCCCCATTGAGAGCTCCACCGAAGGCCCCAGGTGGGGTGCCCCCATGCGTCCGCCACACTCAATACAACGTTGCGTGGCCCCATCGGGAGCTCCACCGACGGCCCCAGTGAGGGTGCCCGCATCCGTCCACCTCACCCAATACAGCGTTTCGTGGCCCTATAAGGAGCTCCCCCGAAAGCCCCAGTGGGGATGCCCGCATGCGTCTGCCACACCCAATGCAGCGTCCCGGAGCCCCATAGGGAGCTCCACCGGAGGCTCCAGTGGGAGTGCCCGCACGCGTCCGCCACACCGAAGGCCCCAGTGGGGGTGCCCACATGCGTCTGCCACACCCAGTACACCGTCCCGAAGCCCCACAGGGCGTTCCACCGAAGGCCACAGGTGGGGTGCCCGCATGCGTCCGCCATACCCAGTGCAGCATTTTGTGGTCGCATAGGGAGCTCCATCGAAGGTCCCAGGTGGGGTGCCCGCATGCGTCCGCCACACCCAGTACAGCTTTTCGTGGCCCCATGGGAAGCTCCACCGAAGGCCGCAGTGGGTGCCCGCGTGCGTCCGCCACACCCAGTACACCGTGTCGTAGCCTTATAGAAAGCTCCACCGAAGGCCCCAGTGGGGGTGCCCGCATGCGTCAACCACACTCAGTACAGCGCTTCGTGACCACATAGGAAGTTCCACCGAAGGCCCCAGTGGGGGTGCACGCGTGCCCGCCACACCCAGTACAGCGTTTCGTGGCCCTATAGGGAGCTCCCCCGAAGGCGCCAGTGGGGATGCCCGCATGCGTCTGCCACACCCAATGCAGCGTCCCGAAGCCCCATAGGGAGCTCCACCGAAGGCTCCAGTGGGAGTGCCCGCATGCGTCCGCCACACCCAGTACACCGTGTCGTAGCCTCATAGAAAGCTCTACCGAAGGCCCCAGTGGGGGTGCCCGCATCCGTCCACCACACCCAATACAGCGTTTCGTGGCCCCATAAAGGGGGTTCCCCCGAAGGCCCCAGTGGGGGTGCCCGCATGCGTCAACCACACCAAGTACAGCGCTTGGTGGCCCCATAGGGGGGCTCCACCGAAGGCCCCAGTGGGGGTTCCCGCATGCGCCCGCCGCACCCAGTCCAGCGTCCCGAAGCCCCATTGAGAGCTCCACCGAAGGCCACAGGTGGGGTGCCCGCATGCGTCCGCCACACCCAGTACAGCGTCCCGAAGCCCCACAGGGAGCTCCACCGACGGCCCCAGTGGGGGTGCCCGCATGCGTCCGCCACACCCAGTACAGCATTTCGTTGTCGCATAGGGAGCTCCACCGAAGGCCCCAATTGGGGTACCCGTATGCGTCCGCCACACCCAATGCAGCGTTTCGTGGCCCCTCCACCAAAGGCCCCAGGGTGCCCGCGTGGGCCCGCTACACTCAGTACAGCGTTTCGAAACCCCAGCGGGAGCTACACCGCCACGCCCAGTACAGCGCTTCAGGACCCCATAGGGAGCTCCACCGAAGGCCCCAGTGGGGTGCCCGTATGCGTCCGCCACACCCAGTACAGCGTCTCGTAAACCCACGGAGAGCTCCACCGACTGCCCCAGAGGGGGTGGCCACATGCGTCTACCACACTCATTTCGGCGCATCACTTACACGTTTCGTGGCCCTATAGGGAGCTCCCCCTAAGGCCCCAACGGGCGTGGCCACATGTGTCCGTCACACCCATGTCGGCACACCCCTCACACATTTCGTGACCCCATAGGGAGCCCCACCTAAGGCCCCAGTGGCGACGTTCGCATGCGTCCGACCGAGCCATGTCGGTGCACCCCTCACACGTTTCGTAGCCCCATATATAGCTCCACCGAAGCCCCAGCTGCGAAGTTCGCGTGCACCCCCCCGCCCATTTCGTTCGGCCCCCCCCCCTCACACGCTTCGTGGCCCATGTGGAGCTCCACCGAAAGTTCGCAGTGTCCCACCCATTCGCCCTCCCCTGCCTGCACTGCCCCGCGCCTTGTTTTTCTTGCGTCGCGCAACCTATGAGAGCAGAGGGTGTACCGCGTTCGCTATTCGGGGTTTGCGTGCCCTCGTCCTCCTTCGTTTCATCTCCCTCGCGGTTCTCGCAGCTGCACACGGTTGGGGCTGTCGTCATGCCAATTTCACTACGCGAACACTTCTGGGCTCCCCTGTCTGAGGAAGGTGGGAAGCACTGGAAGGCGTCACCGCCGCCGCCGCCATGGCGCGCGGACGTCCTCACCCGCCGCTGTGCCGCTCCTCTGCACGGCCCGCCGTTGCGTGCGGCCGGTGCCCGATGGGCCGCCGGTCTCTTGCAAGCTCGTGCCCCGAACACCGCTGGTGTTGCTTCGGTGGCAGGCGTGCCGCGCCGAAGAGCGCGCGGGGTGGCGGGGGTGGGTCTCTCTCTGCGACAGACGAAGGCGAGACGAAGATCTACTCGGATAAGGACAATTCAGGAATCTCTGACCGCGTGCAAGAGCTTCAGGCAGCGCCCAGAACGAAGGCGGGACCCCCGCCATCATCCTGATGTGGCCGCGTCCATTTTGTAGCGTTCGCCCGCGTCGGCGGGCATGTGTGACCCCTGTCGGGGGCCCGCGGGGGGAGCCCTCGGGACCCCAGCGGGGCTTGTGTGACCCATTGTTGGCCCTGTGACAACACGGGGCTGTGTGACCCCGTGTTGGCCCGGACCGCCGCTCCAGCACAGAGCCCTTGTGACGCGAGTGAGATGGACGGCGCCGTGTACTCCCTGCACCGCGGAGGGGCCGTGGCCACGGAAGACCGCAGTTTGGCACGGCCGAAGGCTGGATTCCGCAGCGGGGGGTCCTCCCGACAACCGTTGGCGGTACGCACAGGGTGGTAGTGGTGGTGGTGGTGGTGGTGGTGGTGGTGGTGGTGGTGGTGGTGGCGCGAGGGGGGGGAAGCCTTCTAAAAAGGCGGAGAAGGGGTTTCTTGCCCAGACCCCTTCCAGTCATGAAGAAATCATGACGACATGATTCGTTTGTTGCTGTTTTCAGCCTCTGGGGGCCCTTCCCGGGCCCCAGGATCATCAAATTAGCCGGACGAAAGACCCAACCGTATGCAGCTGCGAGAACCGCGAGGGACATGAGACGAAGGAGGAGGGCACGCAAATCCCGAATAGCGAACGCGGTATACCCTCTGCTCTCATATGCAGCGCGCCACAGGAGGAACAAAACGCGGGACAGTGCGGGCAGGAGGGGAGACGAATGGGTAGGACGTACGCGAACTTTCGGTGGAACTCCCCATGGGTCACGAAGCGCGTGAGGGGTGTGTCGAAATGGTCGGGGGGGGGGGTCGCATGCGAACGTCGCCGCTGGGTCCTTCGGTGGAGCTCCCTATGGGGCTACGAAACGTGTGAAGGGTGCGCCGACATGAGTCGGTCGGACGCATGCGAACGTCGCCACTGGGGCCTTCGGTGGAGCTTCCTATGGGGCCGCGAAGCGTGTGAGAGGTGTGTTGACATGGGCCGGGCGGACGCATGTGGCCGCTTACGCTGGGGCCGTCGGTGGAGCTCCCTATTTGGCCACGAGGCGCAGTACTGGGCGTGTCGGACGCATGTTGCCACCCGCGCTGGGGCCTTCGGAAGAGCTCCCTATTGGGCCACGAAGCGCTGTACTGTATGTGCGGACGCATGTGGCCACCCTCACTGGGGCCTTCGGTGGAGCCCCCTTATGGAGCCACGAAGCGCTGTACTGGGTGTGGCGGTGGAGCTCCCTATGGGGCCACGAAACGCTGTACTGGGTGTGGCGGACGCATGCGGGCCCCCCCACTGTGGCCTTCGGTGGAGCTCCCTGTGGGGCCACGAAACGCTGTATTGGGTGTGGCGGACGCATGCGGGCGCCGCCACTGGGGCCTTCGGTGGAGCCCCCCTATGGGGCCACGAAGCGCTGTACTGGGTGTGGCGGACGCATGCGGGCACCCCCACTGGGGCCTTCGGTGGAACTCCCTATAGGGCCACGAAACGCTGTACTGGGTGTGGCGGACACACGCGTGTACCCCCACTGGGGCCTTCGGTGGAACTCCCTATGTAGCCACGAAGCGCTGTACTGGGTGTGGCGGACGCATGCGGGCATCCCCACCGGCGCCTTCGTTGGAGCTCCCTCCCTGTCGGGCCACGAAACGCTGTACTGGGTGTGGCGGACGCATGCGGGCACCCACTGCGGCCTTCGGTGGAGCTCCCTGTCGGGCCACGAAACGCTGTACTGGGTGTGGCGGACGCATGCGGGCACCCCCACTGGGGCCTTCGATGGAGCTCCCTATGGGGCCACGAAGCTTGTGAGGGGTGTGCCGACATGGGTGTGGCGGACGCATGCGGGCACCGCCACTGGGGCCTTCGGTGGAGCTCCCTATGGGGCCACGAAGCTTGTGAGGGTGTGCCGACATGGGTGTGGCGGACGTATGTGGGCACCGCCACTGGGGCCTTCGGTGGAATTCCCTTCTGGGGTCACGAAACGTGAGAGGGGTGTGCCGAAATGTGTGTGTGTGTGTGGCGGACGCATGTGGGCACCGCCACTGGGGCCTCCGGCGGAGTTCCTTATGGGGCCACGAAGCGTGTGAGGGACGTGTCGACATGGGGCTATGATGGTGATGATGGCAACGATGATGATGCTGATGCTGATGATGATGCTGATGACGATGATGCTGATGACGATGATGATGATGATGATGATGCTGATGATGCTGCTGATGAAAAGGAGTACGAAAATGATGGTGCTGCTGCTGATGCTGATGATGATGATGATGATGCCGATGCTGACGATGATGGTGATGATGACGGCCGTGATGCTGATGATGGTGATAACGCTGTTGCTGATGATCATGATGGGAAGAGGGATGATGGGGAGGAGGAGCAGAGGAAGGAGGAACGCGGGGCGCTGTCTCTTCAAAGCGAAGACCCCAAACCACAATATGGTTTTGACAAACGACTCAGGATCAGAAGCTGGTCCCGGGGAATGGGTCGAGACCTCTGGGGATCGACGTCATGACCAGCTCATGACGTCGAGGGCCTGGGCGGAAGGCAATCCTTAGGAGGGCCTGCAGGCTCCTCAGGAGGCTTCCCAGAAGCTGGGAGGGCCTCCAAGAGGGCCCTGCCGTCTCAAGAGCATGCCGCCTTCCACGACGGCCGCCCGCCTCGCGCCGCCCTGCTCTGCGCGCCGCCGAGAAGCTGGCAAAGACTCCAAGGACCACTCGATCGGCGTCCTGCACCGTCCACCCCGCCCTGCTGCGCGGGCAGTGCTCAGACCTCTGGCGCCGCGACTTCCTCGGCGACGACGTGCGGCCGCTCCGGGTTTCGACCCGCAGAAGCTTGACTGATCTCGTCGAGGCCGTCGCGTAGCCACCTGGCGCAGAGGATCCCGCACGGAGGTGGGGGACGGTCGAGGGATCCCGAGCCCCAGCGGTAGGTGTGCCTGGCCATCACGCGAGCGCGACGCATCCCACTCCTGGTGTGCCGACTGTGGCGCTCTTGCCCCCGCCGTCCTCAATGACTTAGGTCATTCCGACTTCTGAGTGAATGGCGTTGGGGGTGGAGGGGGGTGCAAGAGGACAACGAACTGAGGGAGGCGGGCCTGACGAACCATGCATCCGATGTCTTGATATTTCAGAAAGGGGTCCCCAGAATTCCCGACACTCTCCCTGGGGCAAACTCTTCATCCTGAACAGTTCTTCGATATCTCTGGGGCCTGGCGAGGGCTCCCGGAGGCCAGAAGAGCGCCCAAAAACCTTGCGCCGTGACCCTTCCACGGCGCGAGCATGTCTGGGGAGGCAGCCGGGCGTGCCACTGTTGGCAGCCCCCATCGGGCGTGGCGTGCACCCCACACGAGGGGGAGCAGAGGCCTCTCGGGGAGGCTGCCGGGGCGCGCGGGCCGGCCGAGGAGTCGCCTCTGCGAGCTGCTTCGCGAGCATGGTCTTGCCCGTGCCCGAGGGGCCCGTGAGCAGGAGCACCAGCGGCATGTCGTTCCGCCACAGGCGCTGGCCGCCAGAGTGGCCCCCCCCCCCGCGGCTGGGTCGGGCAGAGGAGGACGGGGACGGCGGTGGAGCAGGAGAGGAGCAGAAGAGGCGAGTGCAGCGCGGAGGAGGAGGAGAAGGGTGAGGAGGAGGAGGAGGTGAAGAAGGGGGAGGAGGAGGAGAATGAGGAGGATGAGGATGAGGATGAGGATGAGGATGAGGAGGAGGAGGAGGAGAAGGATGAGGAGGAGGAGGAGGAGACGAGCGCAGGAGAGTCCAAGAACCAGCCACGCCAACTGGCTAAACTTATCCAAGCGACAACATTTGGTATCACGAGGAGGCGGGGACACGCCTGGCCCAGCGGGCCCATATTGGCCGCTAATTTCCCTCTTGCGGACGGCCGACAACGACCAGCAGGTAATCGGAGAAGGTGAGGAGGGCACTGGCTCGCGCCAAGGTGAGCACTGGCCAGCCTCCATCTGTGATGGCATTGACACGCGTGGAGGACAGGACACCCGTCTTCTGAGGAGCAGAATACGTAGTCTTAGGAGGAGGAGGAACAGGAGGAGGAGGAGGAGGAGGAGGAGGTACATGGGAAGGGGGGCAACGGCGAGGAGGATGACAAGGAGAGCCTGGCAACCAGCTTGGCGAAGATCCTCGGTGCCTCCACAGCGATCCGACCGTGGCCGCTCAGCAAGCACGGCCCACGTGCGGATCTGCCCCGATCGTGGGCCCTGCCGTGGGCCCTTCGTCCTCCCACGTCTACCGGGCGCGGCGGCCGAGCAGGCTCGGCGCTGTGCTCCGTGTACGTTGCTGCGGGGCGCCATCGGCAGTGCAGCTGCGTGCATCTTGACTCTGCGCGGGCCCGTCAGCACATCGCCTGCGCCACCACGCGCATCACGCAGCAGAGCGCTGCGGGTGGTGGGGGCGTGTCTCCTCGCGCGGCCGGCGTGAGCAGAGGCGGGATACCACCGACAGCAAGCATATACCTATGCAGCCGCACTTCAGGTGGCAAGGAGCTTGGGGACTGGGGGGGAAAGAACCAACTGCTGGCGACTGCGATGGGTGTGATGATGACGATGCGGGTGACGCGCCCTCGAGTTAGCAACGACGCCTGATGGCGACGTTGCGCTGCTTTCTATCTCAAAACCAGTGTCACAATCAACCTCACTGTCGATTTCACTTATCTCAATATCATTACCGTTCTAACGATCTCATGATCGATCACTCTATCGACTTCACTATCGATACCAAGGCGGGACATCCCCGGCCAACGCCCGCCGACCGCCGACGGATCACTGACGGATCACTGACGGGACACCAACGGGATACCACAGGACACCACGGCGGGACACCCCAGGCCATCGCGCGCCCACCGGGGGCGGAGGGGCGGTCCATTGCATCCGAATCGCCCTTGCGGCGGCGTGGTCATTCGCGACCGCGCAGCTTCGCCTCGCCCGCTCGCACGACACGAACAGGAAATCGAAACCGATTTCCTGGTGGGGGGCTCTCCGTTCCACTGCGATCTCACCCCTCAACGTCCGACGAACTCCGAGGGAGGGTTGGGCACAGACGGTGGGGACACTGGACAAACTTCTCCAGGGTCTGCAGCCTCCTGGGCACACTCCTTCACGAACGCCCCCCCCCCTCCCCCCCGTGTATTGGATCCACAACTCAAGAGTTTCTGGGAGTGTTGGGATGGTAACAGGCTTGTGTGTGGCAGAATGTTAGCCACACGCCACTGCGCAAGCCCTTAAGCCCTTAGCGGCGGAGCCCGCCACTGTGTTGACTCCGCTGCTCTGTCAGCTCGAGGCTCCTGAAGTCTGGGGGGCTCAAACTAAATCCATCGGCATTCCTCGGGCCAGTGCCTGCCGCGAGAAGTCGAGTGAGAGCTCTGCGCGACGCAGCCGCTGCAGGCTCCCAGCCTGGGGTCAGAAGGCAACCAATTCCCCTCTTCCCCTTCGGGGAGGGGCTTACGGCAGGTTCGTGTCGTGTCGACCCCAGCGCTGGTTTTTGACACCGCAGGGATCGTTCAACACTTGAACGATCGGCCGCTGCCGCAACGTCCGATCGTTCAACATCGATCGATTCTGGGTCGCCAGCGGCGTTCAACCTTGAACGCCCGCGCTGGGGTCGCCGCTGGTCGACACGACGCAAACCTACCGTACAACTGTCCCCTATTCATATGCACCCCCTCCCCCACCCCGGCCGGCGTCCGACCCGGCACCATGCCGACTCCATGAGGGCCCGCCCCCCCCGCCACCAGCGTCAAAAAGCAATACAGAACGCACTCTGCCTCCACATTTTGAAGCATATCCTGCGTCGCGCGCAGTCTGAATCGAAATGCGAACCCGTCGGGGGAGGAGGAGGAGGAGGAGGAGGAGGAGGAGGAGGAGGAGGAGGAGGAGGAGGAGGAGGCTCCCTCCCTCCCTCCCCCTGTGCTCGGTCGCCCCGCGACCATTGTGTATTGGAATTTTACAAGGACGGCTGGAGTGCCAGCAGAGCCCACCTGCCTTCTGGGCGCAGATAGTCGACGGACTTGTTTGACACATCAGTGGCTGCTGCCTTTTCGCCTTATCGTTTCCGATGGGCTTTCGAAACCTGCAAGTGGCTCCAAAATTGGTCAAGAGAGCTCCAAAGTCGGGCTCAGGAGGCTTCCAAGCCGGCCCAAGCACGCCCCAAGTTGGCGTCAAAAGGGCGCCAAGAGGCGGTCTTGAAGGCCCCAGCAAGGGGAGGCCTCCCGGTGGATGACCCGAGAGAGCTCCGGGCCGTGGCCACGAGGCCTCCGAGCCGGCCCCAAGAGCGCCCCAAGGTGGCCCAAACTTGCCCTCGAGAGGCTGCTTTGAAGGCCCCCCCAAAGACGGGGGGCCGCATCGTTTCCGACGAGCAGCTGCGGCGTACCGAGTTGGAGCCCCTGTTGGTGCCCAGTGGCTGGCGCACCTGGCGCGGCTGGAGGCACGTGGAACGCTGGGCGCACGTGGCGCCCGTGCGGCGCCTGGCGCGCCTGGCATGCTCGGGCCTCCAAGGGGTCTGGTGCACATGGAACCCGTGGCGTCTGCGGCGTTCTTGCGCGATACACCCTGCGAAATGCTTAAGAAATCATGGGTTAAGAAATTCATAGTCTCAGAACTTGAGTAGAAGCCCAGAATTTCCATCGAAATCTTAGGATTTACATGGAAACATTAAGAATAATCGAGACTCTGGCCGAAAACTTGGGTTTTCTTAACCATCGCCTAAGGTGTATGACTCCCGGGTTTTACGTATGTGTTTGGAGGGCGGGTGGGAGTGAGCTGGACGGCTTGCGGTCAGGTGGGTAGCTTGACCCCTCCCCCTCCCCCCTCCCCTGGACCTGGACGGAGCGCCCCGCGAGGTGTCAGAGGGCATTTTTTCGCCCAAGATGGCGCCAAGAGGGCCTCAGAGAGCCCAAGATGACCTCCAAGATGGCTCAAGATAGCCCAAGATGCCTCAAGTCGGCTCCCAAGATGCTCCAGGAGGCCCCAAGAACGCTCCAAGACGGCTCCAAGACGCCTCCGAGACCTCCAAGGAGTCCTTCTAAAACTTTCGGACAATCCATGCGCGAGGCTTCAAACACCTTCTTGGCTTTCTCGCCTCTTCGCTTCCGATGGCCATCCGAGGCCTCAAGATGACTCCAAGAGGGCCCTAGAGGGCCTCAAGAGGGGCCCACGAGAGCCCCAAGACGGCCCCAAGAGCGCCCAAGAGCGCTCCAAGAGCGCCACAAGAGGCGATTCTAGGCACTTCAGAATGGCGAGGCTAATTGAAGCTCCCCTCTGTTTGTACCGATCTTCTCCAAGATGACCCGAAGAGTGCTCCCAAGGCACCCACTCGCGCCCCACGAGGGCCCCAAGAGGCGAGACGCCCAGGAAGAGGCGCCCGAAGGGCCTCCAGGAGGCTCCCAAGGGGCCCCCAAGACGCCTCGAGAGGACACCCCGAGGTGCCCAAGACGCTCACAGAGGCACCCTGGGCGCCTCGCCTGGGCTTCGTCTCTGGAGTTATTCGAAGCGTTTCGAAGTCAACTTGAGGCACGACGTTTTTCGAAGCGTTTCGAAGTTATTCGAAGCGTTTCGAAGTCAACTTGAGATATTCGAAGCGTTTCGAAGTTATTCGAAGCGTTCTGTTATGGCCACGGCGAGCCTCGGCCACGAGCAGGTGTCCCCCCGACCTGGCTCCGAGGGAGCGGCCCGAGAGCCCAGCGCTCCTCCCGAGCCCCAAGAGGAGGGCCCCTCCTTCGGCGCCTCGAGTGCAAAAACTTCGTCGAAGGATTGCAAACAAAACCCTTCGCTGCAATCCTTCGCCTGAACGACGAAGGATTGCAAAAAAACCCTTCGTTGCAATCCTTTGTTGCAATCCTTCGCCAACGCTTGGCACGGAGGGGTGGCTCCGCCATGGCCGCAGGGGAGGCGCCGCCCCAGACCTCCGGCGTCGTGGCTGGCTCGTCACGCAGATCTCCAGGAGGCCTCGGCCCCTTCCCATGGGGACCGATTCCTCCTCCCGAGCCGCTTTTTCTGAGAGCCCCGAAGCCCGTCGAGGGCCCCCAGAGGCCGACGGTCGCGACAAGCACGGCCGTCCGGGGGCTTGGGACAGGCCTCGGGCTGCGCCCGGGGCAGCCGGCCGCCGTCCCGCCGCTGCCCTGGCCCGCGCCCTCTTCTGCACTCGCGCGGGGGGCGCGGCCCGCCCGGCGCGCTGGATGTCTGCTCTCGTTCGCCCGCCTGCCGCGCTGGATGGGGAGGGCCCGGGCGTGACGGTGGTGCCGATGCAGTCGAACTGCTGCAGTGCAGTCGTCATGCTGCCATAGGGGGCGCAAAAGGAGCTTTTCTGGCCACGGCGGGCCTAGGCCTGGGCCACAAACAGGTTCCACGACGTAAATCTAAGGAACGGCCCGAACATCAGAGCACCTCCTGAGCCCAAGGTGGTCCTTAGTTATTTCAGCGCCTTGACTGCGGAGACGTGCGACAAGAGATCCTGCCATAAGAAATCTTGGGGCACATTCTCCGTCGGTCTTCGGAGGTCCCGAGGTGCCCCAGAGCTCCTGTGGTTCCCTGGGGCGATCTGGGGTACGACATATCTTGGGGCACCAGCTGGCAGGCCGATTTCGTATTTGATGTGCCTCCTGTACCACGACGAACGCTGAATCGCGAACGAAACCCCTGTTGGGCCTCAAGAGCGCCTGGGCGCGCGAGGAGCGTTGGAGGAACAACCACGGAGGGATTCGAGGAACAGGGAGCGCCTCCAGAGCGCGAACTCCTCCCTATTTCGAGGCCTTGGCTGTAGCAGCATTGGCATTCTGGTCCCGCATTCCGAACCGCGATGACCGGGAGGAAGAGGAGGAGGAGGAGGAGGAGGAGGAGGAGGAGGAGGAGGAGGAGGAGGAGGAGGAGGAGGAGGAGGAAGAGGAGGCGTAATCTCTGACCGTCCCGCCGCCGACCGAACACGGGTCGCAGAGACCTTGGCCGTGACGAGGGGAGCTTTGCACAGCCAGGCTCAACGCCCCAGCCGACCACACAGTTTGGGCACTGGGCCCCTCAGGGCCTGCCGCTGAGCGCCGGGGACTCCCAGCCTCGATCTGGGCCGGCTCCTCCCCAGTGAGGTGTCAGGAAGATGCGCGCGCCAGCAGCGCGGCGGACACTCGGGCAGCGGCTTCGGAGTGGAGCCTGCTCGCGCCAGCGCTCGAGCGTTCCCTCCGAGCGGAGGGCTGAGGGGGGAGCATGGCGGGACGGCGGCGGGAGCGTTTGGGGAGGCGCGGGGCCTCTGAGGACGGGCGCTGATAAGACACTCCCAGGCCCAGGCTCAAGAGAACTGCTTCCTGATGTGCACTATGCCCCCCCAGCTGATTTACAGTCTCGAAGAGACAGGCGGAAAAGGGATCGAACATTTTGCTGCAAGCCGCGCCTTGTGCTTCATCTTTGCGAGGCCCGCCAACTTGTCGACCATGCACCTCTGCCCCACAATCTTCGCGAACGCAGCCTCGAGGCCCGAGCTGCCGTGAACTGC